CCCCGGCCCCGCCCCGAGGCCGCCCCGCCCCCGGCCCCGCCCCGAGGCCGGCATGCCCCGCCCCGGCCCCGCCCCGAGGCGGCCCCGCCCCGACCCCGCCCCGCGCCCCCGGCCCCGACCCGCCCCCCTGTCCTCGACTCCGCTCCGGGCTCCAGGTCTGTGCACCCGATTCTCCACCAGCGCCCCTTCCTGGGCAAAGCCCCGCCGGGGCCCTCCTGGTGGGCACGAGGTGGTCCGGGGCGGGGTGACGGCCCCACCGTTCCCTCTTCCCGCGGGCGTCGCAGTCGGTGGGGCAGGATGAGCTCCGGGGCCGCCCCGCGGCTGCTGCGGCTCCAGCGACACCTGGACCCCCCGGAGGTTAGTGGGCCAGGCCTGGACATGCCGGGCTCCTGTCCCCTCAGCTGCCTAGGGCGGGGCTGAGCGTCCAGGACCCAGGAAAGGGGGCGGAGGAGAGAGCCCAGAGACCGGAGGGGCTGGGGGACGATGGCCCTTTCGTGGAGGGCGTGGGTGGGAGACGGGGTCCCCAGTGGGGCGGGGCAGCGGGGTAGCGGGGGACTGGCCGGGAAGGGTCGGGAGGCCCGGGTCCGCTGTTGACGTTTGGAGCCTCTTCAGCTGACTAGGCAGTTCCAGTGACCCTTGCCCCCTGTCCCCTGGGCACTGGGAGGACTGTCCGGAGGGCTGTTTACACCTTACAGCGGGTGTGGACGCAGGATTGGGGCGGGTGGGCACAGGGCCCCAGACGCTCACCCTGGCCTCCTTCTCCTGGCCTAGCGCAGCAGCATGGAGCCCCTGGGCAGCCCACTGACCACCCATGTGCTGGATACCGCCTCCGGGGTCCCAGCCAGAGGCCTCTGCCTCTGCTTGTCCCGGCTGGAGGACCACAGCCAGCAGTGGATGCAGCTGAGGACCAGGTAGGCGCGAGACGCTGGGAGGGGGGGGTCCTGCCTGAGACAGATGGCAGGGGCCAGGGAGCCAGGCAGTGAGGCTGGAGAGCAGCGCTGACCGCTGCTGACCCTCCACTCCCCACAGGGTGCGGGGAGGGGCGCAGGGCTCCCTCCTGCCTCTGTCAGCCCGTTTCCTCCTCTGAAAATACGGAAATGAGGAGAGGTGCGGTTTCCTCCCACCTCCAACCTCAGGGCACTGAGGCCTGATGGGATGGGAGCGTTTCTGCCGGTTCCTGGCAGCTGTGCCGGGGTGGGGGTGGGTGGGTTAGGTGAGCCCTGAGGGGAAATGGAAGACTTCACTGTCTGTTAGCCCTGTGCCATGCAGTAGCTGGACGCTGCTCTTTCCATTCTCCATACACCCTGAGGCCAGCACCATGATTACTCCTGCTACAGCAAGCCCAGGTCCGTGCTGGGATTCCCAGCCAGGCCTGAGGGCACCGAGCCCCTCAGCCTCCATGGGGCCTTGCCCACTGCCTCAGACACAGGCTACGAGGGCACTTCCCAGGTGGGTGTCACCCCCCCAGACCTTATGGCCCCTGCGTGGGATGCAGGCCCCTCTCTTCCAGCCAGAAGGGCAGGGCTGGGCCCACAGGATCAGGGTGTGCCGGTGCCACTCTTACAACTTCATTTGACCCTTCACAAAGGCTATGGCACTAATTCCTCCAGGTCCCACCTGAGGATTAGGGGAGCACCATGCGGGCTACGCGTCTCATGGAGGTTCCCCATATACTCACATGCTATCCTTTTTTTTTTTTGAGATGGCGTCTTGCTCTGTCACCCAGGCTGAAGTGCAGTGGCACAATCTCAACTCACTGCAGCCTCCACCCCACAGGTTCAAGCAGTTCTCTGCCTTAGTCTCTCTAGTAGCTGGGATTGCAGCCAAGGACCACCACACCTGGCTGGTTGGTTTGTATTTTTAGTAGAGACGGGGTTTCGCCGTGTTGGCCAGGATGGTCTTGAACTCCTGACATCATGGCCTCGCAAAGTGCTGGGATTAAAGGCAGGAGCCACTGCACCCAGCCTGCTCTCTCTAATCATAGCAGAAGTGCACACTTTAAAGACCAGCTGGCAAGAGCGATGTGAGGTTTTCCGGAGGTGACTGTGGGCAGAGCCACAGACGTTCAGGACCCTGACAAGGCACCCGGGCACACGACGGGTGTGCTCCGTGCAGTGGACAGGCCCACCCTGTGCTGAGGGTGTGGTAGTTATTGACACAGAAAGCCACACACAATATGTTCAGTGAAAACCACAGCTTATAAAATAATACAAATAGCATAATCCATTTGATGAGTTAAGTTTGTCAACAAATATGCCTAGAGAAAATCTGGAAAAATATACGCCAGCTCTACGGTGGTCACTGCTCATGGGGTAAATTATGGGAGCCTCTTCCCTTTTTCTTCTCTGTGTTGATTCCCTAAAGACAGTGCTGTGGGGTCCTGACTGCTCCGGAGCTGCAGGCCAAGTCCCACTGTGTCTGCTCACCCAAGTCTGCCAGGTGGGGTGCAGACCCAGGAAAGCTGGGGTGGGGAGCTCATCTCCCTCTGTACCCTCATCCTCTCCTCAGCTACACAGACCCAGATGGCCGCTGCCCTGGACTCCTGACGCAGGACCAGATGAAGGCAGGCACCTACAAGCTCACCTTCGACACTGCGGCCTACTGGAGGAAGAGGGGGCAGGAAAGCTTCTACCCATACGTGGAGGTGAGCGCCCCAGTGCACTGGAGGGCTGAGGTCTGTGACTCACTGGGACCGGCAGGTCAGGTCCTGCTGGCCAGCATCCTTTAGGCAGTGGGCAGACTGGTCCTGGATGGCGGTAGGTGGGTAAGCTCACTTGCTTTGAGCTCCCAAAAGAAAGGTTTCCAGGCAGGAAGACTCTACAGGACACACCCATCGCTGACCTGCCCAGGGTCAGGCTTTATGGGGAGACTGGGCCAGGGTGACTCATCCCCTCTGTTGATAGAGGTTTTCACCTGAGCCACCTCCAGCTCTGTGCCTCACCTCACTGCCTCAGCCTGCACTGCGGCCGCACAGAATCATCTGCCCTGTCAGGCTGTGGCTGCGCTCAGGGCTGTGGCTTCTGAGGAATGTTCCTCTGGTGGGGAGGGTTCACCCCATCCCAGACCCGCAGTCGGCTGCTGAACTCTCCCAGGCACGGTGGGGCTAGACAACCAATTTGCTGCCGCCCTCTTACCCTCTCCCCGGCCTTCTCCGCCTCAGGTTGTTTTCACCATCCCCAGCGAGGCCCAGAAGTTCCACGTGCCCCTGCTGCTGAGCCCCTGGTCCTACACCACCTACCGAGGGAGCTAGAGCCAAGCCAGGCAGCAGGCCACCTGCCCCTTCCCACACTTGGGCTGTGCCACCCCCCAACCTCAACAGAGTGGGCCTGGTGCTCATCAGGGCACACCAGGGTCACCCACTTCCTAGGGAAGTCCTGCAGATTCCCAGTGGGCAGCTGTGACTCAGGTGTCAATAAAGTCACTGCCAGCACCCACAAAGCCGTCCAGTCGTTGGGTCAACAATGGCGTGAAGACAGGCAGCACACTGTGCCCAGCCCCAGGTGAGCGCAGGGCCCTCTGGGAAGGTCCTGCTGTCTGTGGTTGGAGGTGCCCAGGGAGCAGGCCCAGGCACAGGCTGGACATGCACCCAGCGAAGGAAGTGGCGGGGACGCCATGGGTGAGGGTCCTGCAGGCAGTTCTGTCCACGGAGCCAGGCAAGACGATGGAAGGACACGTGAAAAGCTTTCATTTGCTGATGATGAAATCTAAAACACTTGTTGTCCTTGGTGTGAAAGTGGGTGTCATCTAGAGAGAGTTCCGAGGCTGGCTCTGGGGGCTGTGCCCCCCCAAAGGGGCAGCTACGTGGGGGTGCCCACCAGTCCCGCAGGGCCCTGGCCTATCGTCTGCCTGATCACAGCTGTCTCTAAGGGCTTGAAGCCCACATTGTCCAGAGGGATCCCGAAGGCCAACAGCTTCGCCTCGTACGTGCGCAGCAGGTCATTGTGGGCCTGTGGGGACAGGGCAGCGTTAGGGAGCCGAGGGTCCACTCCCAGGCCCACCAGAGCTGAGGGTCCCCGCGCCCAGGCCCACCGGAGCTGAGGGTCCCTGCGCCCAGGCCCATCAGAGCTCAGGGTCCCTGCACCCAGGCCCACCGGAGCTCAGGGTCCCCACGCCAAGGCCCACCGGAGCTGAGTGCAGCTCCGTGGAGGGGCAAGCATCGTGAGCCTCACAGTGTAAAAGGATAAAGCCAAAGTCATTTCCTGTGTGGGAGACATCACCCCGTTCAGGTGTCACACAGGGAGAGGCCGTCACTATTCCCATTCCACAAATGAGGACACAGAGGCAGAAGGCAAAGACACTCGGGGCAGAGCTGTGGTCTGAGAGGCTCTGCCCCTGGCTGTGCTCTGGCCCCTGGGTGGACGTTCCTCCCTCAGGTTCTTCACGCCCTCCCTACCCAGAGGAAGGGGCTGACCAGGGAAGGGTCCAGGTGCCCCCACATCCATCCCAGTAGATACATGGCCTAGATGACAGTGCTGCGCCCCAAACCAACAGAATCCAGCTGCCCTCAGCCATGACTGCACCCTCACGTGGGGACAGTGATAGCTGCCTTGTCAAACGAGGTACAAAGTGGGCACCAGTGGGGTGCTCAGAGAGCATCTGCATTTAGAACAGGCTGGCGCCGAGGGAGTTGTACCTTACAGACCCGGGCCAGCTCATACTGCAGGTCCTTAATGGTGCTGTTCTTCGATTCCACAACATCCTGAGGAGACAGAGGTGAGAGTTTGAGACTCATTTTTGACTGAAGCAATGGGGGTGGCCTGGGGGCTCCAGGCTTTCCTCAAAGACCCGGGGAATAACAGCCTGGTTCGATGGTGCCTCCATCTACACAGGGTTTTCAGCAGAAAAAGGCCTCCAGGGGTTGAGAGAAGACACGGGAGGAGCAGAGAACAGGGAGCCACACATCTCCATAAAGAAATGGTCTAGGCCGGGCGAGGCAGCCCACACCTGTGACCTCAGCAGTGTGGAAGGCCAAGACGGTGGATCATTTGAGGTCAGGGGTTCAAGACCAGCCTGGCCAACATGGCGAACCATTTTTTTTTTTTTTTAATAAAGACAGGGTTTTACCATGTTGGCAAGGATGGTCTTTAACTCCCAACCTCAGATGATCCACCCACCTTGGCCTCCCAAAATGCTGAGATTACAGGCGTGAGCCACCACATCCGGCCGAAACCCCTTCTTTACTAAAAATACAAAAATTAGCCAGGCGTGCTGGCTCACACCTATAATTCCACCACTTTGGGAGGCCGAGGAGGGCAGATCACTTGCAGTCAGAAGTTTGAGACCAGCCTGGCCAATGTGGTGAAACCCTGTCTCTACTAAAAATACAAAAATTAGCCAGGTGTGGTGGCTCACACCTGTGTAAACCCAGCCACTTGGGAGTCTGAGGCACAAGAATCACTTGAACTTGGGAAACAGAGGTTACAGTGAGCTGAGATTGCACCACTGCACTCCAGCCTGGGCAACAGAGCAAGACACAGTCTCAAAAAAAAAAAAAAAAAAAAAAAGTCCAAACCCACAAGAAATGCAAATGAGGTGACGGCAGGCAGCGTGAAGCCACACACAGAGACTGTCCACTGAACACCACTCACGCACTGCTTACGTGTCTCGAAGCTTGTGAATGTATTCTCCCACTTTTTCCTAACAAAAAAACTGGTCTTCAGCAGCGTTGGCCTGCCCAGATGTGGGCAAGGGTCTCACCACATGGCCAGGCCGGGGGCTTCTTGGGCTACTGCCTGTGGCCACCACTGGGCCCGGCCTAGCTTCAGAGCCATCTCTACCACCCACTGACAGAGCAGCCCTCACACCTGCGCAGCCTGCAAACAGTGTCCCTGCCGGGGCCTCTATCACTTCGCCAGAAGATTCCTCACTTAGAAGTCATGGTAACAATGACCAGGAAAGGAAGAGCTGACCCACATTTGGCTCCATGCTCACCCTGGTGTGTGGGTACAGCAGCAGTGACCCTCATCTCAATGGTTTAGCAGCCAGCCGGGTGCAGCCTCAGCCAGCTGGGAACACACCTCCTCCTCCTTCCAGCAGTGTGACCTCACTCCCTCACCTGCCTGTGCTCACAGCACCCAGTGCTGAGCAGACAATCTCAGTCTGCCTCTGGCCCCGATGAGACCCCACTCGTACGGCCTCACTCCCTCAGGCCCTGAGAGCCAGGCCATCCCAGATGACCAGGGTCCCACAGGCACCACTGCCCACTAGGCCAGGACCCACAGTTCCCCAGTGTGCAAACACCAAGCCACCTTGGCCCCTCCCAGCCCCACCTGTCAACCCAGCCTCTGGGCAGCTCTCAAACCCTCTGCCCATCCCCATTCTGTGCTGGCCCCAACCTGCCCCCTCCAGCCCTTTGATCCCCAGCAGTGGCAGAGTAGGCTCTGTCCAGTTCTTCCATGGTTACCAACGGGCCTGAAACAGACACAGCTGACAGGCCTTTCAGAACCAGCCCCTGAGTCTTGCATCTGTCCAACACCTGGTGCCCCCAGGGCAGCTCAGCAAGGGGCTCCAGCCTGGACGACAGAGCGAGACTCCATCTCAGAAAAAAAAAAAAGAGATTAGCTGACTTGAATGAGGTCAGCCCTCGGCCTGATGTCGGTGGTGAGCACATGCATTTGTGTTCAGCTCAACTGCGTGTGGACCAATCACCTTAAAAACGCCATCTGGAGGCCAGGCACGGTGCCTCACACCTGTAATGCCAGCACTTCAGGAAGCCGAGGTGGGTGGATCACGAGGTCAGAGACTTAGACCATCCTGGCCAACATGGTGAAACCCCATCTCTACTAAAAATACAAAAATAAGGTCAGGTGTGGTGGTGCGCACCTGTAATCCCAGCACTTTGGGAGGCCAAGGCGGGCAGATGACTTGAGGTCAGGAGTTGAAGACCAGCCTGGCCAACATGGTGAAACAGTCTCTACTAAAAATACAAAAATTAGCCCGGCATGGTGGCACACGCCTGTAATCGCAGCTACTGGGGAGACAGAGGCTACAGTGTCAAGATGGCACCAGTGCGCTCCAGCCTGGGTGACAGAGCAAGACTCAGTCTCGAAAACAAAACAAAAAAATACCACCTGTGAACGTTCTCAGGATAACAGATGCTTCCACAGTGAGGAAGCCTCGAGCCGACGCCCCAGGCATCTATGTGCTGAAGGACGAGCCCAGCACAGCAGCAGAGTCAGACGGCGCACAGTGGCCCCGAAGGCTGCGTCTCTGTGACCAGCCAGTCTCCCTCTGCGGGGCCTGGTGGTGAAGACCTCACGACCAGATGTTGCAAGCTCAGGGGCAGCAGCTGGGCCAGGAGCATGCGTCATGCATCTTGGAGGGCCCCGAGGAAGCCACAGGCTGTGCCTCAACTGGCCAGGATTCCAGTGTCAGAGACCTTTGCGCCCTGTGCCTGTTCCTTCTGTGACTTTCCCTAACCAGGTCCAGGGAACAGAGGCCAGGCCCAAGTCCAGAAGCTAGACACAGGTGTGAGGCGCCTGTGAGGCAGTCTGAGGCTCCAGCATCCTCCTGATGCCCCAGGGCATGCCGCCTCTCCCCATGGGGGGCCCAGGCCTCATCTGTTTTATCCCGGGACACCCTAGCAGAGCAGCACCATACGTAACCATGACACAGAATGATGGAATGGTCCGGGCTATTATTAAACCTCATGTCCCCAGTACCTGCAAAGTGGGGTCAGGGTCCCCAGGCTCCCATGACCCTGCACTTACCATGTCTGTAACTGCCCATGTCCTAACCCAGCCCATCTCAGGGCCTCCCGGCGCCCTCTCTGTCCCAGGATGGGGGTGGTGCCTGGGCTGAGAGCTCGGGAGGTGCAACCATCCTCCAGGCCTGTATCTGGGTCTGCTGTCACCAACGGAGGCACTCAGGCCCACAGAGACTCCACGTGGCTTTTCCACTCCCACGCCCATTGTCAGGCTGCACTGAGATGACTAGAGCCTTAGGTGCTTGGAGGAGCCAGGCCTGAGAACCGGAGTGAGCAGAGACCCAGGAGTAAGGACGTACCGTGAGGTCACACAGGATCCGGGGAAGATCAAGATGCGAGATCTCATCAGCAGAACTGATGAGAGGAGACCGCCAGCTAAGACGGTGAGGGGCATCCACGCCACTCTGTTCTCGGGCCACAGGAAGCCCGTGAATGCCCCCGCCCAGTGGTTGACCGAGGGGTCTGTGCCTGTCCGAGGAGGCACAGCACGGAACGGAAGGGTCCTGCCATGGGGAAGAGGCCGCCCACTGGGGCAGCTCACCTCAAGGGCCTACCTCGAGCTTGCGGGACACCAGCGTCAGGGATGCAGGGTCCAGGTTGGAGGCCGCCAACACCTCGTTGAACTGCACCTCCTTCTTCTCCACGGCAGCGCTGAGGGCCTGCAGCTTGCGCTCTAGCACCAGGTTCTTAAAGCCGGTCTTCTGCTGCACCTCCTGGATGGCAGCAGT